AATGCACCTGTTTTGCTGTGAAAGTCAATGTAAAAGAAGATTGCTTAATAAAAACATGAAGACTTGGGATCAGAAAGACTTAGGTTTAAATTCCACCTTGGATTTTTACTAGCTTTGTGTTCATGGGCCAGTCACAATTTAGCTTCCCTAAACTTCAGTCGCCTCAGTTTCCTTATCTATAAAATGGGAATCATAATACACCTACCTCACAAGGTAGGGGTGTGTGTATGTGTGTATGTGTGTGTGTGTGTGTGTTTGTTTTGTGAGGCTCAAGTGAGGTAATATATATAAGGCATATTTGGGGGAAACTTTACCAGTGGGTTTATTTTATTTTATTTTTTTAATATGGAGAATTCTGAAAGGTAACTTCCTTGACCAATGCAGATAGGCACCTACTCTACTGAGATGTTAAATGACTTGTTTCGAGTCAGTCAGCCCTCTACTCCATTGCTCCCTGCTGCCTGTCCTAAAGCACTTTGAAGGCCTTTAAAGAGCTACATAAATGTGAGCTATTATTATTATACTATAATAATAACATCATAATATAGTGTAATGTTATAACAAATTATTAGTATAATAATTTTACTATAACTAATTTATTCCATTATATGAGGCCTGTATTTGCATCTCTAAATGGCTTCCCTTGAGATATTATTAATAGCCAGCATTAATTTAACGCTCTAAGGATTACAAAGTGCTTGACAGATATCATCCCATTTGATCTCTACTACGACCTATCGACACAGGTGCTATTACTATCTCCATTTTACAGATAAGGAAACTGAGGCTGAGGGAGCAACTTACCCAAGGCCACCCAGCTTGTTAAGTTGTAGTTAGGATTTGAACCCAAGTCTTTCTGATTCCCAGTCCAGCACTCTTATCTCCCGTGCTATCTCCCCACATGTGAACAACTAAATTATTCAAAAACAACAAAGCTAAATCAGTGACTTTGGGAGCATCAGAAGACATTATGAACTTCTATGAATGACTGGCCCAGCAAGTGATTAGAAAAGATCTTTAATATCATTTCCATGCTTCAGAACTGTGATATCTTTCATTTGGGCACATCCACCAATATCAAGCCTGACTCCTTTAAAGTCAGGACCAGAAGTGATTCGTCCCCTGGTGGTCGGCATGAAGATGAGCCCCTCTAAACTTGGTTGTCACGTTTATAGCCCCAAGGCCCACGTTCAGGACCATAGACTTTTAGGAAATAGAGCTGGAGAGAACCTTTGAGATCATTCCATTGATGAAGAAACTGAGTCCTAAAGAGACTGAGTCACTGACCAGTATTCTGTCCACCTGAAAGTTGGTTAAAGAGACAACAAGGTAGGGGATAAGTAAGTTCATATTGTTTTATTCCCTTAAGTTAGCAGCATGTAACATGTTAACGTGGAGGCAGAGCTTTAACTCTGACCGAATCAAGCAATTTTAGCAGGACATTTAAACCCTGACTCAGGATGTTTGTTAATTGATAGGCAAATGTCAGATCCAGGATATCTGTGCTTCCTTTTCCACCATAGGATATCAAGATAAGAAAAGTCCCATTATTCAAGGTAGTGTCTGGGTTAAAGGCCTTAGTGCTTGCAGACAGAAGAATGTTCTTGGTCAGTTTTAGCTCCTGACACAGGAAGAAGGGGCATTATCACTTCACTCAGGAAGAAAAGATTAATTCAGATTTTTGGCCCTTATTGGGACTCAATTGACCTTAAATGATTATCAATTCAAACCCAGGTTCTCTAACTCCAAATCTAGCAAAGCACCCTTTCCACTGAATTACCCACTCATTCATTCATTCATTCATTCATTCATTCATTCATTCACTAAAACTTTTCTCATCCTTCAAGAATGTAGTCACTTTCAAAACATAATGAGAGCTCAAGGTAGGATGCTAAATGGAAGGTATGCTGTCAATTTAACATTTTAAGAGTATTGTTCCTACCCTGTTATCTATTAGTCAAGGCAATCCCATGTTCATTGTCATTCCTCATCCAGTCCCTGGTCTCTTATGGGAGCCTAGCTGAATGAGCTGTGACCTAGAGAGTTTGTTTATGTGGTTTTGTGTTGTTTCTTCTTCCCAACATCTCCTTCCACCCCATTTTTTCCCCTGCCTAACACCAGGGGTATAACTATAGGGAATGAAGGCAATATGGGGCCACCTGAGATTTCTGCTAATTACAAGGTTGTCTCATAATGAAGTGGGTTAGAAAATCCTTCTCTTCTGTTCCTAGATAGGAAGTGCACCTTGATGCATTATTGGTGATTGATTTTGCCCAGGAATATCCAGATTTGAATTAAAAATTCCCTTTGTCAGCTCTGCGGGATTTCTAAGAATAGATCTTCTATTTGCCTGGTGGACTATTGGGCATATGCTGGGCAAGATCTGGGCCTTCTACCCGCAAACTACAGAAAATGCTGCCCAGAGGAGGTGCTGAGCTGTTCAGAACTTTGCCACCTTTACCCTCCTAACAAAAAGTCCCTTAGGAGCTCTTAGCAAAGGAAGCGGAAGGGGCTTAGTCTGTTCTGGACAGAGGTGAGAGTTGGGATCTTTCTCCTACTTTCACTGGAGCAGCAGGAGGAGGGAGGACAGAGGACAAGGGATGGTGAGTCTCTCTCTTCCTTACCCTTTTGGGGCTTCATTCAATGGTCTTTTTACTCATGTTCATCCCCTCTTATTCCTTTATGGGAAAAAAAATCCCTCCCCATCTCTGAATCCCTGGCCCTCGACTTTTGCTATCCTCTAAAGTCTGCCATTCCTAAGAATCCTCCTGTTTTCAGTCCAATCTCTTTGCCTCAAAGTGTGTGATTAGATAATTCTCACAATCTCCCTGGCCCTCTAAAACCTCCTATTCCCCTCTGGGTCTCCTTCCTACCTTCTCCCCCTGGGTCACACTGTCTCTGTCCCTACATGTATCTGTTTCTATTTTCCTAACACTGTGTGTATGTGTGTGTGTGTGTGTGTGTGTGTGTGTGTGTGTGTGTGTCCCAAAGTCTTAGCCTTTGTTTCTCTCTCCCTGCCCTTTCTTCTCCTGGTCTATACTGTAGGTGGTGGTGGTGACATTAGAACCTTAGGGAAAAAAAATTAGGAAAATGCCATTGTTGCAACAGTAAAAAAAAAAAATTATTTTAATAAATTTGAAGGCTCAAGATAAATGTAATCATTATATGCATAATCATTTTTACTGATGCTGGGAGTGATTATGCAAATGCATTCTCTTGACACGTACCCCATTCCTCATTTCTGATAGTTTCATGCTTTTTATGGGCCACTCATTCCTAATCCTGTCTTTGTAATAGCCTTGTAGCAGCTCTGGTTATTCCAAAGAGACTCATAAAATCCTCAATAAATAAGTAATGTTTTTATGGCACTTTAATTAGAAAAATAAATATATATCCTTATAGCTTTCTTAAGAAGAGTAGTTGAGCCCACATCAAATGAGAGCAGAATTTGAGGCTGTAACCCCATAAAAGCTGAAGAATCGCTAGTGTAGACAGTCGCTAGTATAGACAGTGGAACCAAACAAGCACCAGGCATTAGCTCTTTTGGTAAATCGTTGGCATAAGAAATTCCGCTTGAGGCTGGTATTTGATGTTTCATAATTGGAAGTGTGGTACTGTGGATAGAAAGCTGGACTTGGGGTGACAAAAGGCTTGGGTTCAAATCCTGCTTCTGATACTTACTAAGCTGTGTGACCCTGGGCAAGTTATTCAACCTGTCTAAGCCTCAGGTAACTCCTTAGAATTTATCTATTTATACAATGAGGGCAACTAGGTGGCATAGTAGATAACTTAGAGTCAGAAAGACTCATCTTCCTGAGTTCAAATCTGGCCTCAGACACTTACTAACTGGGTGACCCTGGGCAAGTCACTTAACCCTGTTTGCCTCAGTTCCTCATTTGTAAAATGAGAAGGAAATGGCAAACCATTCCAGTATCTTTGCCAAGAAAACCCCAAATGAGAGTTGGATACAACTAAAACAACTAAACAGAACTGTTTCCTATTTGTCTTGGTAGAGTGAGTTCCCACACAGGGAGTTCCCTCATGCTAATGGGATTATGTATTTTTCATTCATTTGTATACTTGTACTGAGGGGAAATAATGGAGAATTTCTATTTGAGCTGAGTCTTGGAGGAGTGGGATTTTGATGACAGTTGTCAGGGAAGAGAGGAGGCTTATGGGCGTTTTTAGACATAAGAATGGAATGCATTTCAGACAGGAATTCTATTCATGCTTAGGTTGGGCGTTTTCCTTATACCAACACTTTTGTGAAGTATCAGTGCATTTAGCGGGATGTAAAGCTTACAAATGCCACATCCCATTGGACTAGATCTAGCTCAAAAAATGCCAATAGGTTTTAATTATTTCCCCTGATTGCCCAGTTTTCCACTCAACTTTTCTCTAATATTGGCTCAGAAGCACATTAGCCAGAAGGGTAGCAAGAGCCATGAACTGGTACCTGGGGCGTTATGAAATCAGCCTGGGGTGGAACCAGAATCCCGTGGGCACATTGGGGCAGGTAGAAGACCACACTGAGGTCATGCTCAGGGTCACACAGGGAAAGGAAGGGAAAAAAAAAAGAGCAAAGGAAAAGTGGGTAGGGAGACCTCTTGAGTCTTTGACCTCCCTGGCTTCCCATTACTTGACCCTGGAATTGTAGCCAGGCCAGGGAGCTTGGCTTGACTGAATCAGAGGAAAGGCTCTCACCATTCATCCTTCAGGTATTGGTTACGGTCTCCCCTTAGCTTATGCCACGGGCATCTCTCTAGCCTCCAGAGTGGGGTTTTGGGGGAGTGATGTTCTAGTCTCGTGTGTCTACACTACAAACATCTCACCTGTTCCTGTAGTGAAGCTTTTGATGTTAAACCCCTTTCCTTTTGCTTTGGTTTTTCTGGCATGTCAGGATGCAATGGGGAGCAAGCGGAATTTTTTGTTTTTTAAACCAGATAGATTCTTTTACCTTACTAGCTTTTAACCTAGATACGCTTTGTTTTGTTTGCCAGATGATGATTCAGAACTCTACTCCCCTCGATACTCATATTCTGAAGACTGTAAGTGACCTGGAATTACTTAGTGGAGGGTGGGGGAAGTCTATCCTCCTTGCTCAGATTTGCTGGGGGACCTAAGAGACATACTGAATCTTGTCATCCTTTCCTTTCCCCCCATAGCAAGAAGCCCCTTTTCGGTGCCTCGTTCAAAAAGTGAGATGGAGTACATCGATGCAGAGAAAGTGGTCAAGAGGTCTGCCACGCTGCCCCTACCCTCCCGCTCTACGTCTTTGAAATCGAGCCCGGAAAGGTATTTCTTCATTATTTTACTCATCATTCACATCATCATTGCCATTATCATCATCAAATGCTTATTGAAAGTCTGTTGCATGCCAGGCACTGGTCAGACAGGAAGACTTACTGGGCATTTCTGGTGGAAAGGCCTTCTTATGTTTTTGCAAGCCTCTTGCCAGATCCATGCCAGCTTCTTGAGTCTAAGACATTAGGGTGGAATGCAGCTATAAAGAAATCATCAACCCTCTCTTTCCAAGTTCCAGAGTGCTGACATGCTCTGGCAGTATGGCAATAAAAGATTTTGTAATTTTGTGACAGGGAAGTATGAGACAGACTGACTCAACCCCCTGTCCCACTGATGCCTCCAGGTCACGATGTGACAATACCCCATAAGCATCCCTTTCCCCTTTTCACAAAGAAAGTCTTAGCTGCAAGGTTGAATGCATTTCAATATTTAGTTCATGGACTAGAAGGGCTGAGGGCCCAGACTGGATTTGAATTTTTAAAGGAAATGGCACCCTTAGCAAAAACCTTGGTTTTTGTTCTAATGCCGATGTCAGACAACTGTTCATTTATGGACTCACTTTTTCTGTGTCATATCCTGCACCATGTTTTTGGACATTTTCAGTCCTGAACATACCTGTGAACATGCTGAAATATATGAGAGTTGGGGTAGGGTTTCCTCCATCTCACAGTCCAAGTACTTGACCATTTCCAAACTCTCCCAACCACAAAAACACAATCTCTCCCTCCTTCTCCATCTCTGTCTCTGTCTCTCCTCTCTCTTTTTTCTCTCTCTTTCTCTCTCCCACTCTGTCTCTTTGTCTCTCTGTCTCTCTTTCTGTCTCTCCCTCTCTTTCCCTCTCTCTCCCTCTCTGTGTCTCTTTCTTTCCCTTTCCCCTTCTCTCTCTTTCTCCCTCTGTCTCTTTCTGTCTCTCCCTCTCTCTGTCTCTTTGTCTCTATCTCTGTCTCTCTCTCTCTCTGTCTGTCTCTCTCTGCCTCTACCTCTCTCTCCTTTTCTCTCTCTCTCTCTCTTTCCCTCTCTCTCCCTCTCCCTTTGTGTCTCTCCCTCCCCCCCTCTCTCCCTCTCTCTCCCTCTCCCTTTGTGTCTCTCCCTCTCCCCCTCTCTCCTTCTTTGTCTCTGTCTCTGTCTGTCTCTCCTTGCCCCCCTTCAAGAATCTCATAATCTTTCACATAGACACAAACAGGAAGGAAATTCCCAGATGCTGTCAAAGACACAGCTATTTCTGACCTTGTGCCATAGGATCATCACCTTGGCAATGACTCAGTCCTTTGGTGTACCCTTTGACTAAGATCTTAGGCAGCTTTCAGCACAGCCCAGTGAACAAAGGTTCCCCAGAAACACACATAGCATTAAGGAACACAAACATAGATACACAGAGAAAATCTCGCAGCCAATGATACCCCAGATACCCCAGAATGGCATCATTTAGCGACCTTCCATGGCTCTCATGCTCTCTTCTTCCTAGTGAGACATTTAGACATTAGACATGCTGTAAGGGGTGGTTTCAGGAGCCCCAGGACAGAGACCTGGGGGTATCCCTGTCTACCTTTTTGCCCATGTGCTGCTTTTATCCTCAACTCAAGAAGAGGAGAAAGGATGATACCTTCCTTAGGGCTGGCAACATCAGCTGCTGCCTTCCTGCTCTTCCAGCTCAATTGCCCTGAGTTCATGATTTTGATAACACACTTCCCCTTAAAGACATTCATTCTTTGAGAGCAAAGTGACTTCAGTGTCACCCATTAGGAGACTCTACTTGCTCTATTTATGGGCAGTTGAAGTTTTTAGCTTTCTCACAGAATAGAGTATGAGCCATATGCTTTGGTCTGGCATCCATGGACACCAGGTTTCTTTTCCAAAATTTAAAAAAAATGCTTCTTTATGCATCTAAACCCTGAACCTATACAAAGAAATGAAAGAGCTAGTTAAATAATACTGAAGGATGAAGTAGAAGCCCCCATAGCTTATTTTAGCTGAGACTATTCCTATTTTTTCTTGGAAGAAGTTCTATTAGGCCTGCTTTCCTTTAGCCCAGAGATTATGATCATAAAGTCTCATCCCATTTCCTCTTGGCCTCGCACTGTACCCAGAATACCTCATAGCATGGTAGGTAGGAAGGCAGTGTTACTTTGTAGTGACCACCATGCTTTCCCCCACCTCCAGCCCCTTAATAAGGCCATAGATAAATGAAGACTTGGCAACCACATAGGAAGTATTTCCAACTCGGGATCTAGAGGATTCTTTTCGCTCTTCTCTATCCAACATTTAAGGAGAGCTGTGTTTCCTGACTCAAGCTCTTCCTTCTTTGTGTCTTCTCTATTGACATGTTTTGCATGGAGGTAGCCTAGGATTCCCCTACACTATGTTTTTACCCCTGGTGGAGCCCAGATTCTGTGGTGAGGACACTGTTGTACTGTCTATGTGACAAGCACATTTACCTGCAGAGAACTAAAACCACTGAGGTCTAATAGAAAGAACACCAACCTGGGAGTCATAGAAAGGACCATGTGGAGGGGACATTGACCCAAAATTATAGGATCGTGGAAATAGACCTAGAAGGGACCATTGGGCTCCCCACCTCCATATTATTCCAATACTCTTATTATAAAGATAAGGAAACTGAGACCCAAAATTTCAGTGACTTGCCCAGGCCACACATTTAAAATAAGATTTGAGCTTGGATCTTTTAACTCCAAGTTCACTTCTTTCTATTTTACCTTAGTGCCTCCTCTAACATGGGTTCAAATCCTACTTTTGCCACTTGAAAGCTGTATGATGTTGGGCAAATCCCTGTAAAGTAAGGGAGCTGGATTTTATTTCCAAGGCCCTTCTAATTTTAACGTCTTGTGATTTTGAGAGGCAACATGGCATAATGGACAGGGCACTGGACATGGAGTCAGGAAGACCTAGATTTGAATCCTGCCTCAGATCATTACTAGCTCTGTGGCCCTGAACAAATCACTTAATTTCTCTTGGCCTCACTTTCCTCATCTCTAAAATGAGAGGGTGAGTCCAACCCTCTCAGATCCTTTCCAACCTAAGTCTATGATCCTATGATTCATTCTTTATGCCATCCATGGCCCAACTATGAAGTTCAAAATATGCCCATAGATAGCATGTTTCCTAGAGGTTATAACATCTCCTTGAGACCCATTCGTTTGGAGAAGTTGTCACTCTGAATTATCCTTGATCTAGAAGGACGTGAGACCCAAGAGCTTTTCATATCATGCCACTCCCACTCCAGGAGATCACTGCTTCTGAATGATCATCACATGAAAGACTTAGGTCTTAATCTAGCAAGATACTTTACCACAACCTGCCACAGTCAAGTTTACCAGCCTTGTGAGAACACCTCATCCTAGAGCAATGACAAAAAACATTACATTGGGTGCTTGGGTCTTCATCTGTGTTTTTAAGTAGATTACATAATTCAATCTGGGTATCTGTCTTAGACCTCACCCCAGACCTTTCACATAAAGGCCCTCAAACCATTGGGAAGGATGTAGAAGACCAATCTCCTAAATCCATGAGACATTTAACTCCTGTTGTTATACAGTGTCCAAAAAGAACAGAGATCTGAGGGCTAATCCTGAAACTAAGGAGCAGAATACAGAGCTGTCTAGGAAGAAAACCAAGATGGTCATCCATGAACCATCCATGATGGTTCACTTCCATAGACCCAGAAGATATCTACAGTTTCCCCTTGTGTAATGCAATATTTTCTGCTCCAGTCATTTAAGAGAGAGGCAGTGTGATACAATGGGCAGGGAGCTGCCCTAGAAGCTGGGAAAACCTGGATTTAAGCTCTTCTTCTGACACATACTGGCAGTCTGACCATGGGCAAACCTCTTTGGACTCTAGGCAACTTTCTAAGACTATAAATTGGAGAGAAGGTGCAACCTGCTTTGGTAGAGAGAGTTTCCTCACCTGGGACTTCCATAAAGCAATCACATCACATCTAGTCCCTATCCCTTTTCATTCAAGATCCCAGACAAATTCAAATCTGTTCTCTGAGGCTGCTGGTTATTTCTATTAATATCTGAACACAGGGCATCAGGATTTAATATCCTTCCATATAATTTGCTGAGTAGTGCTTTGAAGGTCTTTTGTAGAAAAAATTCCAGTCTAGTGATTGGCAATTAAATTATTAGTATTGTTTTTCAGTAAAGTGTCAAGTGCTCTAATATGATGTCAGTTAAGTGCCAGGTAGGTCCTGTGGCAGTAAAGGATGAAACCTAGTGACATAACAGGCCTTCTTACTTTCCAATGGCATTGTTTGTACCTGATACTAAGCTGCTGTTCTTGTAACTTTGAAGAAACTGGGGAGGCAGAAGAGAATGTAGGGAGAATTGAAAACACTTATTTAAAAAAAAAATGCTTTTCAATGGGAGAAACAGCACCACCACCATTCTCATTATTCTCATCATCAACAGTGAACATTTATTGAGCACCTACTACTTTCAGCTTAGCTTTAAGGTCGATGGAATGATTTTGAATGCCTCTACTTGCTACAGGGAAATTTATCAAGAGAAAAGAAGGCATCAGTTCAGACTTCCTTGGACTGCTTTTTTAAGAGACCTGGGCCATCTAAATCATCCCCCCAAAGCCCTTCTAAATCCCAAGAAGGCAAGCAAAATTATTGTTAATTAAATGTTTAATCAATGTTTAATAGCTAGCATATTCATTTTGAGCCAAATTTATGATATAGCTAAGTTGTACTTTTTTAAGCTACTGTATTCATAGTATACTGGGGGCCCCTGTATGATCCACATGTACAATCCATTTTATAGGACTTAGCTCACACTTCTATTTTAAATGATTCTGGATATTTGTAATTATTGTTTACTTGCTTTTATTACCTATCATTGGTCATGTCTGTAATTTACTTGATTCCAAGTCCTTCCTTGGTCAGAATATGACGCCTAATTATTATTCTTTTAAAAAACATCATTCTCTTTATAATGCAATTTCTCGGAACACATTCTTTGTTTCTATGGCCCCAGAGTCTTCCTGGGATGTCTTGCTCTGTCAACATGACTGATGAATGACAAATGCCCATAAATTTTGCCATAACTAAACAATGGACTGGTGAAGGGCAAATCACAGGCCCCACTACAAATCCAATCCTTTCTTAGTTCTTCTGTTTTACTCCAGTCTGAAAAAGGTACAATCCACTCCAACTCAGGAAATTGAATTTAAAGGAACCATATTAGATAGACTCTATAGGCTTTTGAAATTTTCTTCCATGAGGCAAAACCTGAGCCCTAGCCTCGTTTGTCTCAGCCCTAGCCTATAGGCTCGTCAGGTCATAGATTTAGAAGTGGAATGTTTTTTAGAGATCACCCAGTCTAACCTCCTCATTTTATAGATGAAAAAACTGAGGTCCAGAGAGGGAGGTAGCTCAAAAGTCAGACCATTGGTGCAGGTCCCTACTATGTGAGTTCTGAATCTACTGCTTTGGGTAAAGGGAGAATTAAGAAATGTCCCCACAGTCCTTCACACCACATGTTTGACCTCAGGTTTAGGGTTTGATATAAGGAAGAATTTCCTAAAAATCAGAACCGTCAGATAGTAGAATTGGCTGCTTCAAGAAATAGTAGTTTTTCCCCGCCTTGGAGGTCTTGAGACAGAGACTAAAGGACAGGAGAATTCCTTTTCAGGTAAGGGCTGACCTAGATGGCCACTGAGGATCCCCCGAACTCTGAACTTCTGAGACTTTGTGAATTCTCAGTTTACCCAGTTCCTTCCAGCCATATAGCTCCTTCATCCAGTGTTAAGCTGGTTATCTCATCCACTGAATACCCCAAATATACTTCCCTTTCCAGGAAGGGAAAGTGATATACAAATCACACCTTTATTTTGAGTGTGAAAGAATGAAGCACTATATCCTGCCCAACCAAAAGCAGAACAAGCTTTTCTGCATCTGTACACCACAATGCTCTATCTTATGCTATCCCTTCCCCTGAAAAGTCTGCTGCTTACCTCTCCACCTTTATGAATCTTAACCATCTTTTAAGGACTGATTCTTTAAGGGTAGGGACTATGCTGTAGTGGATAAAGTGTTGGATTTAAAATCAAAAAGACCTAGGTCTGAATCTCGCCGCAGACACTAGCTGTATTACCTTAGGCAAATATTTACCTCATTGGGCCTTAGTTTCCTCTTCTGTAAAATAAAAGATTTGGACTCAGTGACCTTTAAGGTCCCATCCAACTCTCAATCTATCATCCTATGGTCTTATACTTCTTAGTGTCTTCTGTGGTGTCTGCGTTGAGTACCTTGTATATGCTGAACCCTCAATAAATGTTTGCTAAAAGACAGTTCTGAGATTTCTCCAAATTCCATAATAGAAGGGAGATCATTTCTAATGACTTGTGTGACCACAGACAGAGGGTGCATCTCAGGTGAGAAACACTTCCAGTTGGATGTCCCACCACTACCTCAAACTCATTATGTCTAAAGCTAATCTTTCTCCACAAACCAGTTTTTCCTGACTTATTTCTGTATTGGGCACCCCCATTCTTCCAGTCACCCAAGCTCGAAACCTCAGAATGATTTGTGGCTCCTTCTTCCCGCTTTGTGCCTCACAATACATCAGTAAACCGGGTCAGCTCTGCCTTTGCAATCCATCGCTGCCTTCCTAACCCTACTTTCCCCCAGTCAAGGCTTACCTCTTGCCTGGAGTGCTTTGATAGTCATCTGGCTAGCTTTCCCGTCTCCAGACCCTTCTCCCTCCTCAGCCCATCACCATCCCCTCCCCTGATAAAATCCCACCCATCTTTCAAGGTACATGTCGAATGCCATCTCTTCTAGCTGCCTTCCCTGGTCACTGCAGTTGACCTTCTCTTCCTCCCATCAGCAACTCCTGATTTGACTCCTCAGGTGGACCAGATCGCAGCCTGCCTTGTCATATAGTATTTAGGTATAGTTATTTAGGTTTATCCACCTGCAAATTTGTTGAGGGCAGAGACCGTGTCACGTACATCTTTGTTTACCACATTATACCTAACACTGTGCCTTTCACTGCGCACACATGCTACACAATGCACAATGAAGTAGATACTTCATTGATACGCATTGACTAAAGGATATTTTAAAAGCTAGTCTATTCCCTTCTCAAAATCAGCCTCTTTTCTCGTCTATAAAATGGGTATAATAATACTCACACTACTGGCCTCATGGGGTTGTGAAGAAAGAGCTATATAAAACATTGTAGAAACACAAGCAATGGCACATATATTTTACATGTCTTCATACATTTTTTGTTTTGTGTCTAGATAGATGTGTGATTTTATCAGTTCAGGGAATATATATTACATATGAGAGGCAGTATGGTATAGTGGGTAATGAGCCTGGAAGTCTGGAAGACCAGAGTTCAAGGCTTGTCTCTGATTCGTGCTGTCTGTATGGTTCCGGGAGTCATAAGCTCTCAGTGCTACTTGCAGCTCTCTATCAGTTGAAGAGCAGGTACCAGTGCACACTAGTGTAGAGAGTTTCCTATATCAATGAATTCTCTGATCTGGTCTTAAAATACCTATATTCAAATAGAGACAAGTACACACACATCTATATCTGTAAAGAAATAATATATTTTACATATTGATATAAATCTACATATATAGATCTGTCATATATGTAGACATTGTTTATCTACATATATAGGTATACAGTCATATAGCACACAGTTATGATTTATGTATGTTTGTGATGGCATTGATAATTGATCACTCATTAGGAACACAGGGTAAGTGCAAACACATCTTCTTTTGCCCATATCCCTATGGAACACAAACTATTTCTCGGCATTCATTCCTTTAATATTTTTAATGGCACCTACTGTATGCAAGGCTCCCTGCTAGGCACTTTGGGGAATGCTTAGCCTTTAGTTATGCTCTGATTCCTTTGTTCCTTCTCTTTTTTTTTTTGGCTAGGCAATGGGGTTAAGTGACTTTCCCAGGGTCACACAGCTAGTAAGTGTTATGTGTCTGAGGCCGGATTTGAACTCAGGTCCTCCTGAATCCAGGGCCGGTACTCTATCCACTGCGCCACCTTGTTCCCTCTCTTTCAAGGAGCTTAAAATCCCATCTGGGAGATTCAGATGCAGAATCACAGAATCTCACAGTGAGAGGGCTCTGAAAAGCTAGCTGTGTACCAAGAATCCCCTTGATGATGATACAGCCTGCAGTCAGGAAGACTGGAGTTCAGACCATACTCAGACACTCACTAGCCGTGTGGCCTCGAGCAGGTTACTTCACCCCTGTTTACCTCAGTTTCCTCATCTGTAAAATGAGGATAATAATAGCACCTACCTCCCAGGGTTGTTGTGACAACCAATTGAGATCCTATTTGTAAACCACTTTGCAAATAATAAGTGCTAGCTCTGACCAGCTATTATTATTATTGTCCCTGACAAGTGGTCACCCTGCCTTTGCTTGAAGACTTCTGTCTAATGAGGGAGGATCCACTATCCTCAGGCAACTCGTTCTACTTTTAGGCAGTGCTAATTGTCAGAAAGTCATTACTCCTGTTGAGCCACAATAATCCTCTCTGAAGCTTCTATTCATTGCTTTGTTCTCTGCCAGTGGGGCCAAGCAGAGCAAATCCCTTCTTCACATGGGTTAAAGCCAAAATTCACTGGGAGTGTATTCAACACTATGAGAGAGGTCCAGATGGAGGGTGATGGGAGCTCCACGTTTATGGCTGATTAACCGGGGAAAACTGCATGGAGGAGGTAGCATTGTAGCTAGGCCTTGAAGGACAGGCAGATTTTCAATGGGGAAGGGGATCCTAGCTGGAGGGAGGGGCCTTCAGAATGGGTCTGGAGTGCTAGAGGTGAGGGAGCGTGGGGTGAACAAGACCATTTTAATGTTTTTTTCTCCTGCCTCACTTAAAATTTTACCTTCACAAGAGTGGCAAAAACATACTATAAAACTGTAAATTTGTTGATAGAAGAAAAAACACAACTAGATTATTCTTTCTGAAATAAGTTTCTTCATTCAGATGGAAAATTATTCAGTTAAACAAAAATTAGCCACAGGCAGACTACCATATTGGTCCAAATATAACCCATCCTTTTTTCTCCAATTGGACTTGTATGAGATCAGAGCAGTAGACTATAATCTGTTGGTTTTCAGTTCCTATCTAATTATACACACATATTTCTTTCAAAGCAATCTTATTTTAGAGATGCAGCCTGCCTATGTGTTACATCCAAAAGAGATGCCATTTGCCTTGATAATGAATCGAATTGATTTTCCTTCCACAGGAATGACTGGGAGCCCCCGGATAAGAAAGTGGACACTAGAAAATACCGTGCAGAACCTAAAAGCATTTATGAATATCAGCCGGGCAAGTCCTCAGTTCTGACAAATGAAAAGATGGTAATTAGTCCACCTTATCATTCTATTGCCTCCTTTTTCCTGATTTCTTGGATTTGAATGCATTGCAAAGCTGATTTATATTTTTCTGCTTGTGATGGAATTGCTTTATGCGGTAGAATATTAAGTATTTTTGCATTAATTTCACCTTTCCAGGATTCATGAGTAATTCTTGAAACTGTCTCCTGCTTTTAAAGAATCTTTTTTATTTTGGGGTGGGGAGAGGCAGGGTGTATTATTGTTCTCCCTAATGCATGAATTTACTAATTCTAATTTTTAAGAAAATGCTAATTTACTAGCTGTCTTTGTTGGTGTCATCGTTTTTTAATCCTTAGTTAATTCATTAGATTTTCATTCTGGCCTCTTTAAATAGTTTAAAAAGTATGGCTCCTTGTTTTTAATCATGTTATCTATTTCACAGAGAGTTACTAGTGAGTTAGAAATTCAGTATTTAAAATGATGGTATGGTTAAGAAAATACCTCAAGGATGATTTTTAAATGCTACTTCTCTATGAAGCTGTCCCTGCTTTGATGTGGTTGGGGTGGGGGAAATGGGGGAATGTAAATTCAGTGTTCTTCAGGCATCATGGCTTCTCTATATAATTTCACATCTACAAGTAACTAGTGATATAAAAATGGAATGTATAGAAAAAGAGACCACCTTTTCAAACAAAGTCCATTCATTGAGTCTATGAAATATTGAAGAATCTTTGCAAATGGCAAGCAGGCTTGATAAAGACTCTCCCTTTGGTAATCAAACATTAGAAAAAGTTGGTTTGTATATTGAATTGTGTAGATAAAAGAATCCAAAGGGTAGCCAAACACTTGTAGGCCCACCAAACACAGCAGGTGGCCTCCACTGCTGGTTTCCATTGTGGAATTCATGCTGGGAATATGGTTTTAGGGAAACTGACCAGAGCACATATAACACAAACAGACAATAAAAATAGTCTTCTCGCCATACATGTTATTTTCTTGAAATTTTTTCAGTTCATATGTTTTCAAGTAATAGGTGATTTTTCTTTTACTGGAATCATCATGTGAGAAATATAAAAAATATAATGAACAGCTTTGATTATCGCAGAAAATAGTCAACAATTCACCAAGATGATCATAATGGTTAATATTGAGCTTTTAATATGTAAAGTGGTTATTTTAAGCAAAAAGTTCCAGAAGAACAGCTTATATTGCCACTAGTCCTTTCTGTATTTGAGAGTTTTATATCACAATCATATTATTTTTATCAGTAGGACCAGCATGCTTTGGTGCATATGTTCCTTCAAAAATAAATAATACTATCCAGCTATAGTACACTTTAATACCATTCCTGGCCTTCACCGAAGTATTTTAGTAGGGTTAAGTAAGTTTTAAATGGCATTATTTGCTCCCAAATTGTCCTGTCTTTTTCTTGAAGGTTGACCCGTTTTCTGATTTTTTTCCCCCAGTTATTAGTAACTTATGGAATCTCTTTCAGAACTGGGGGAAATAGGGAGGGTTCCTTACGTGTTATTTTCTCAGTGTGCCACAAAATGGCGATACTTGTGCATAATCTATATAGTTGCTCCTTGACCTTGCTGCCTAGGGATTTTGTTAGTGGTATTATAGGGAACCCTAAGAATCAATCAGCATTGTCCTCAACTCTTTTACATGACTGCTGTAGGTTTGCATTTGAGCTCAGTGTGGATCTCCTTGGGAAAGCAGGAGCTCCTGTAAGTTTCTAGCAGCACCTAGTAATGAGGAGTATAGACTAGAAAAAAGAGTCTTTGAGAAAAGTGAGGCCTCAGTGATTGTTCCCTACAAGCTAGCAATGCATTTCAATAGCAGTCAGTCACAGGCATTTATTAAGCACCTACTGTGTGCCAGGCACTATAAGAAAGGTAAAAAAACAGTCCTTGCTCTCAAGGATCTCCAAAGCTAATGGGAGAGACAACGTTATATACTGGATAAATTGAGGGTGATCTTGGAGGGGAGGTACTAAGGTTAAGGAGGACTGGGTAAAGCTTCTTGCAGAAGATGGTATTTTGGCTGAGGCTCAAAGGACAAGACACATTCCCCCAAGTTGAGCACTGACCTTTAAAGGAAGACCATTGGCAAGAGTAGAACATTCTGATTTGAAAGGAGAAATTTCAATCCAAGTCTTAGTTTTTGGAGGGCCATAAATATGCTACCTCTTGTGACATTTTAACCATTCCTATATTTTTGCAATGTTTGATTCTGCTGGGGTTTTGTTTTTGGCAGATCCAAATGCAACATGAATAGAGAAGTTAGGGAGCGAGTTCCTCAAGTGTTCCTTTTGACGTTCATAATCAGAGTTCTGCTATTCATTGGTGATCTTTTTTTTTAATGGGTTGACACATTGTTTATATACATATATAGGATTAAACTTTGCATTCAGAATCCCATAAATCCCTTTGAAGAGATCAGTTTTTCCTTGATAGTCTCAGTGATCATTCCTGCTAAGTATGACATTTTAAATTATTTCTGAATAGACTTCTGTAAGCTATTTGTCTAAAGGCTGGACAGGACAATCTCATGGGGCTGGAGGGTATCCTTGGGTCTGATTCTTCTTCCCATAGGTAGATACACACCTAAACAATCCTAGATTGGTGAGATTTATGACCATCTTAGAAGGCTTTCATAGAAAATCCTCCAGCCTCCCATGATGTGGACTTCTCTCAAGTATAACAATCCTCACTGTCAGGAAGTTCTCCCTTATATCTGATCCAACTCCCTTATGTTGTGACCTAAATCTGCACCTTCCTCTTCCAAACTTGGGAGGTTGGCTGTGGTCAGTCACCATCTTCTTTGTCATGATCCTACATGTGTTTGACATGTGGCAATCCCTCCCCTCAACCCCCCCCCCCAAAAAAGAAATCCTTTACTGAAACTCATTCCTGTGTATTTTTTTCCCCTTCTCTACTATATGGAAGTTATTTTGAATGCTTGTACCTTTCCTCTCCTATACTTGTCACCCACCCTACTTTAGCTTAGCATCATCTTGAAATTTAATGAGATTTGCCCCCTACTCCATCATCCAGTTTCATTGTTAAAATGATAAACTCAGGCTCATGCATAGGCAGCAATACTGACACACAGCCAGGTTTAGACTTAATCTCAGAGGAGATTTGGGGTGTTTATACGAAGAAGTGGTAGCACTTTAGGGACTGTTCCAAGTTGTAGAAAGGATAAGTGTAAACAATATGGAAGATGATGCTTTGTACTGTGGGACCTAACCCCACAGGTAGGCCAGGCAAACATGCAGGAGTTTGGGGCCATTTTGGATTATTTATCTTATACGTAATTTGATCAAAAGCTAAGCTGTAAACCACAAAATGAAATGCAGATGTTACTGCCATATGGGGAGTTTCAGTTAACATTTAGTTTCATGAATTGCTGAAATTTTTTCCCTACTGTGAGAGAGAGGACAGGTTATTATAGCCCTGTATTGACTGACATCTGACTGGTAGGAGAAACCTCAGTAAAAAGGAATTCTTGGGTTGGTTTTGTTAAGATAGTGGGTACCAATACTTGGCATCCTTGTCCTTAAAGAGTTAATGCAGCTTCCAGAAATACCTTCTTTATTCCCAGGGAATGGTTTATAAATAACATTTTGATACGAACAAACTATATAGTAGTACTTCATGAAATGCTATTCCACAATGAATCAGATTTTCCCAGGATTTAAGCTACTCCCTTCTGAACACCTATCTTCTCCTAAGTACTAGGCAAGTATTATTTAAATTTTGGCTTTTTTTTTTTGCTTTACTAAAAAGAAATACTTAAATTAGGTTATTTCAGATGTCTTCTCCCTCGGGACTTCAGAGTCAAGGCCTTAGTTAAATTAGAGGGAATTGCATCTGGCCCCAAAGAAGCCAAACCTTTGGGGTATTTGAGTAAAGGGGCAAAACTTGGCTGATATTACCCATACTGGCTTCAACTGATGGATGCTGTCTCTGTTTTAGTTAAAGGTTAGCTCAAATCCAGATAAACTCCCATTCGAGAAAATATAGTATGTGAAAATCTGAATGTAGAGACTGAAAGAATAATAGTAAAAACTTCTTAAGGATGTGTGTGACATGTGTTGTGTATGAAAAGGAGTCAGCCAGAGCTATAAAGAGCTTTCAGAGGATGCTCAATAAGCCCATTGGTGTTTGCTAACCGCTGCAAAATAGCTATTAACGAAACTAAAATTAAGAGATGCCACCTCATAACAAAATATAACAAAATACAAGAAACTTGGGATAGAAACAGAGCCATTTCAAAGGGTGAGGCAACTCATATGCAGAGAACCCCAAAGGAATGCAATTTCTATCACAATGTTTTAAATTTTGGTAGAGTATATATGTTTTTTGCTTATTTTCCTTAGTATTCATATTTTATCAGAAAAATTATCATTTCTTTTCTGATTTTGAACTGTCTGTGGATTTTTTTGTATGTGAACTTAATTATACCTTGGGGCCAAAACTTTTTCCATGGGAATGCATCTTCATGGTGATGGTAGGAAACAGGGGAAACATGATTAGAGTTACAGAGATTTACTCCATATACAATTTTTAAGGAACATATTTGTTCCTCAGAACTAAGGCATTTAAATTTTATACAGAGATATAAATGATAAAATAATATTGAGGAAAATTGTCCTCCTATGAGAATTCTATAGGATGAAAAATCTAACCCCTATTACTTTAATATTGCCCAGAAGTGACTCTCCTTTCTATTGCATTGTTATCTGTCCTGTCCAGCTTTTCTTTAACTTTTACTTTTTAAAATTAATTCCTTAAAATGCTTATTAGAATACAAAAGATACTGTCTGCTTCATCCCTTCAACATCTGCTTTGAAATGGGTTCTTGCCACTCGTGTCCTCTGTTCCTACTTGGAAGGTCATTTTTCACTTTACTGTTTATAGGACGTGGTTTCTTGCGTATTCCTGTGCCATTAAAGATGCAGTATGAATGGGTGGGCTTGTGTACAGTGGTACAACCAGACTTATTTCCTATCAAAT